TTTATATACCTACTAGCTGTCGCCCGCGACTCCGTCCGCGTGTTTGTCTATAAAATTAAAAAACAAAATTTAGGGGTGGACTACCCTTAACATTTAGGGGGATGAAAAATAGATGTTGGCCGACTCTCAGACCTACTCAATATGCTCACAAAATTTCATGAGAATCGGTCAAGCCGTTTCACAGGAGTATGGGAATGAAAATTGTGACACGAGAATTTTATATATAACAAAATAAAAACAGACATGTTTGTATCATCAAATTAAATATGGAACGTTACAAAAACCCATAGATAGATAATAAATACTTTTGTATTATTTTTTTTTCATAAAAAGTTTATGGTGTTAAAGTGTTAAACCTCGTTTGCCATCTTCCATAAAATCTTGCAACATATTGAACGTATATTAATTTTCGTAATTCGTATTTAGTTCAAACTTGACATTAATTTTAACGTTATTGAGATGTTACACAATTTCTAACTGTAATAGCTAGTTATTCATTGCTACGTAAACTTTTACGATACGGCCAATTAAGGCTTTTAACATCGCACGCTCGTACTCAAAAATGTTTGAGATCGGATGCAAATCGCACTAAGAGTGCCGAGTATGTATGTGCTCGTATACTCTTTGGTACCCAGCGTTATTTTTTATAACTACATAGATTAAAAAACGTAAACGAGATAGGTAACGAAAAAAGATATTATATTTGACTACCATAAACTGTTTATAATTATGTAATTAAAAATAATGATGAAAGCAAAATTGTGGCAAAAATTTACTGAAATAAAGACACGTCCTTTTCATTCGTAGAAGTCAAGCAAGATTTTATCTGTGCATGACAAATCGGATTGCAGTTCAGTACGTCAATTATATTCCCAACAAAACTGACCCTAATGTGCAACCATTCTTGCCCATAATAACATATTAATTGGCCTCGAACATCCATCATTTCTGAGGATAATTAGCGTAATCATTAAACACCCCTACAATAAAGAACTGGTAATAAATCACGCGAAAATCTGTGACCTAATCTTTGATGTCCACTAATCTATGATTTACTTAATCTATGACAGTTTATATTGTGAACTTTTTTGACCAATCAGCATTGAGATTAATTGCGCGCTAATAAAGTGGTCTCTCTGGATTCTATTTTTGAAAGCAATAATTAACGAGTGTGAATGCATTCTATTTAGGCAATCACTGGTCTATTGTGCGCTTTATATGTTTTGATTGAGTCAAATAAATTAAAATTATTTGAACCTTAATTAGATGAACTTAGCAGTCATTAGCGGCCTCTAGTGACTATTAAAAGAAGCTTTGTAAATTCGTTTAAAGGCAGAAAAGTAATTTCATTCTTTGCATTTTATACTTAAACTCAAAATATACAGTCAGAGTCCTTCAAAAATACACCATCCATTGCCGACAACATTTATAATATTGCGAAATATAAAACTGGATAGATATTTAAACATTTATCTATGTTACGTAAAATAC